ATTTATATTTTTCATTATTATTATGTTATATATAATTTATATTTTCATTTGCGGTTCTTAAAAAACAATACAGGACTATTATCGAATAGTAAATACGTACGACTGTTTATGTAGAATGCAAATCGCTTAATATCGTTTTTATTCATTTTTCACTGCGCGCCGCAGATGGCGCTGAAATACAGTCTTCAAATTATGACTCTAGCGTGGAAAATTGTTCCTCACGCGTTTAAATATTTGAATTAGTTCAGACGGTGTCTCGTATGAATTTATATTTTTCATTATTATTATGTTATATATAATTTATATTTTCATTTGCGGTTCTTAAAAAACAATACAGGACTATTATCGAATAGTAAATACGTACGACTATTTATGTTGAATGCAAATTTCACTTCCGTTTCCCACGATTCTCTTAAAAGACTTGAACTTCCGACAGAACAGCGACTTAGAAAAATATTAACAACAATTCTCGATCTATGAAAATTATTGAAATTGAAACTGCATGTTCGTTTTCACTTCCGTTTCCCACGATTCTCTTAAAAGACTTGAACTTCCGACAAAACAGCGACTTAGAAAAATATTAACAACAATTCTCGATCTATGAAAATTATTGAAATTGAAACAACATGTTCGTTTTCACTTCGTTCGTTCCCTTCGATTGTTCATCACGATGTTCTTAAAAGACCGAGAAATCCTTGAGAGTCTCTTTGCATTGTTAAACGCTTCACGCAATGCTGTACAATGTACCAGTCCGAAGTGTAATATATTGGGTTGGGGAATAAGATCGTAGCGTTTTTATATTTTCTTTTATTTTACAACGATTTTTTGCTGTTCGACAAAGTGTATAATATTCATTCGATAGAGCTCTTTCTGCTCGACAAAACCGTGCTAATCGTCTTTTTGAGTAATTTAATTTTTTATTACTTTTGAGGCTTAGAAATGAAATATCCAGGAGATAAAAAGCAACATTTTCGACAGCTTCTCTTCGCTTTTCATCGAGGCTAAAAAGCTGCCCAAGCAGCCCGGGACATTTGCAACGTATACGGAGAAGGTGTCATAGGCGAGTCTACGGCACGGAAATGGTTTGCGAAGTTCAAAAATGGCGTTTTTGACGTCGACGACACGCCCCGCAGCGGAAGACCTTCCGAATTCGATGAAGAGCGTCTCGAAGCACTTTTAAAGGAGGACGGTCACCGAACAAGTCGTGAATTGGCCGAAAAAATGAACTGCGGTCATAAAACGATTCTCAATCATCTTCGTTCAATGGGATTTGCCGAAAAATTGTGAGCCTGGGTGCCTCACGAGCTTAACGAAAACAACAAAGAAAATCGCCTTCAAATAAAAACGCTACGGACTTATTCCCCAAGCCAATAGAATGCAACTCGCTTAATATCGCTTTTATTCATTTTTCACTGCGCGCCGCAGATGGCGCTGCAATACAGTCTTCAAATTATGCTTCAAGCACGGGGAACGGTTTCGAGCATTTTTCAAAATTTCTAACACCTGTGATAGGCTGTTTTTAAAATGCATTTAAATATTTTTAACTCGCTACCGTTAACATGTAACTAAAAATAATGTATCGCTGTTGTTTCATAACAAATGTAGCCGTATGATTATCTAACTAATTTAGTTTAAATTTCAAATTTTATTTTTTTTTAAATTTCATTATATATATATATCTAACACTTGAAACCGTTTTTATCTATTTTTCACTATGCGCCGCAGATGTCGCTACAATCCAGTCGCGGAACACCGATAATTCGAGCGCGGGAAACCGCCCTGAGCACTTCTCTTCGTAAATTAATTGAGATAAGTTCTCATTCACGCTTGACTGCACGCGCATACCACTTATTGGAAATCTGCTTCTCCTAGAACGAGAAACCAACTCGAATCCATCACGTTGTATCATAACCAGATTTATTTATGCAGGGTTATTTAAATGTGAGCAATCTGTAATTTAGCCGGTATCGTTGTAATTAAGAAAGCCTGGCCTTGAACTTGACATTTTCGATAACGGCTTTTCGGCGTCCGCGACGATCGCTCACGATGGTTGACAGCCTGAAAGTAATTACACGTTATCTCTCGCTTAGGAGGAACATCGTACGGTTGTGCTCACGGAACGTGACGCATGAAAAGAACGCGCATATTGTTCCCAAGCACGGCTCGATTAATAACGGTCCTCTTTTTCCTTCGATCTACATCGAAGGTGTCGGAACGATAATACGGTCGATGGCTGAATCGATCGGCGGCTGTTATGGGAGAGAGTTCACCTGCTGCTGGGAATTTATTCGATTAAATGTCGGCAGGATGTCGGACGCTCTTAACCTCTGCTTGATAGAAGATTAAATTAAAATTTTCGAAAATCGAACCAAACGAGAGGAATTGTTTTTTGAAATGCTTGAAATACGGTACTTGACGTGCCGTAGCACGTTATTAATTAATTTCGACGAAATTTTCAGCGCGTATGCAACTTAATAGGGTGTAAAAAATGCGTTGTTTAAATTCTCGATAGAAAGTATTAGAAATATATTTAGGAAATATATGAAGAAAATATTAAATATATTTATATAATATAAAATATTTAATATAAAATATTATATAAATATTATATATTTATTTTTACTATACTTTTTATATTTACTTACTTTACT